TATATTAAGTTCATTATTTTAACTTCTAATTTTGGGTGAGTAATCCTTTACTTTCATCTTGACCCTAAGAATATACCATCATTATCTGACACAGGATATTATAAAGTTTTAAAAGTTAAGTAAGACTGTAATAGGGTACCAATCAGCTACAGCAGAGTCTTAATTATCAGAGAGGTATATAAAGAACCATTAACAACAGGAACACACTTTTTATCCCACCAGGACAGAAAAAAAGTGTTATTTTAAAATATATAATCCTGGTAACTTCTCTGGTCTTACCAGGATCATAACATCTGCTAATTACCTTGAACAATAACATAAATATTGACATATTCCTTTATTCAACACCCTCCCCAGCCTAAAAATATCTTTTCAATCGAGCCCAGAGAGGCTTGCAGAAAGGGTTCAGGTTATTGTTAAGATGTGGATAAAAGAGTTTCCAACTCAGTTTGTTGAGACACTAAAGGAGATTATGCTTAGCACAGTGTCTGGCAAATAAACTGTCAACGAAGAGCAGATAATATTATTATTAATATTGTTTTTATTACAGAGTGTGTGTGTGAGTGTGTGTGTGTGTGTGTGTGTGTGTGTGTGTGTGTGTGTTGGGTCTGGGGAGGTCAAGCTGGGAAGAAAGGTGAGGCGAGCAAGGAGAAATGACTGAGAAGCCTCCTCTTGAAGCAGGAATGAGGAGGATGGGGGTAAAGCAGGTGGAGGGGTAAGAGGGACTTGGTTGGATTTGACTGGTTTCAGGTTCAGGCATAAAGTTGGTTTGTCACCAGGACAGTCAGGTGTCTTCTGGAACTGTGTTGGCACAAGCAGTCCAAAGCCTGCTCAGCCAGTACTTGTCACCAACATCAGCATGGCCTTTAAATGAAATTTGGCGAAGTTGTAAGATCTTTTTATTACCGTGTAGAACCTCAGATTTCGCCTAATTCAGTCCCTTTTTTTGGAAGATGAGTCAGCTGAGACCCAGAAATGTTAAACAATTTGCTCAATCACCAGGCACACGCCAGGGGGAGACTTGGCATATGTTCAAGATGGCCTTGAGATTCCGGCATCATGAGCATAGTTTATATATTCTCTAAATGAACCATGCTTATACATATACCTGCTATACATGTTGTCATCAATAGTATCAACATGCAGCATATATTGTAAAAATTATTCTTTTAATTGTTATTGGATTATTAGAGATTTAGAATATTAAAGTATGTAAGGAATTATAAGTCACTACAGTGCCTGCTTATTAACTGTAAATAATAATTAGACAACTTATAGATATAATATGTCTACATCCTGCATATCTAAAGAAACTACTTCTAAAAGAGCATTTGTGACAAAAAAGACAAGAAGTATAAATTTAAGTAAGTGGTTTCTCTTTGCCGTCAGTATCACCCTTGGCAATGCCACATTGTTAACCACACTTGCCCCTGCCCTTCTATTTCCACAAGGGGGCAGTGTTCACCTTCAAATGGATATTGCTTAGCTTCTGGACCTCTGCTTTCGCCTCAACTAGAAATTATTAAACCCATGATCAGAAGCAACCTTAATATTGATATTTTCAAAATGCCAGAGCACAATGAATGTAAAGACAAGATTTCCTCACATTTATATGGTGCTTTACAGCTTCCAAAGGGATATCTTGTGTATTATCTCATTTGAACCTTTCAAGGAATCAGGGAGAGAGGTTTCTTTCCTCTGCTTTTAAGATGAGAAAACACATGGTTCATATAACAACTTATGTTTTTTAAAATAAAACTCATAACAACATAAAGGAGATTTTAATGAGCACCTATTATGCACCAGGACTGTGTTAGTACAGGGAATATAAAGGAAAGAAAATAGTTGCCTCAAGCTCTTATTGTGAATAATGCTGCTGGAAACATGACCCTGATTTCAATTCTTTTGGACGTTATTGTTGAATCATATGGTAATTCTAATTTTGATATGCATATATTTAAATATATTTTTATTGATTTCAGAGAGGAAGGGAGAGGGGGAGAGTTAGAAACATCCAAGATAAGAGAATCACTGATCAGCTGCCTCCTGTATGTCCCCTACTGAGGATCGAGCTCACAACCCAGGCATGTGCCCTGACTTGGAATTGAACCATGACCTCCTGGTTCATAAGTTGATGCTCAACCATCGAGCCACACTGGCTGGGCTAGTTTTAATATTTTTGAGGAACTATAATACTATTTTCCATTCAGCTGTACCATTTTACATTCCCACCAACAGGGCTTAAGAGTTTTGATTTTTCCACATCCTTGCCAACACTTGCTATTTCCTATTTTTTGTTATTTTAAAATTGAATTTATTGGGGTGACATTGTTTAATACAATTATATAGGTTTCAGGGGTACACATCATATTGCGTTCACTATCCCAAGCCAAGTCTTATTTTTTTAAATAGCAGTTACCCTAATGTTTGACTTGCATTTCTCTAAAGATTGTAAATATTTTATAAATAAAAGAGAGAGAAAGAGAGATAGAAAGATAGAGAGATGAAGAGATCAATTCATTGGTCCACTCATTTATCTGTTGATTCTTGTATGTGCCCTGACCAGAGATCAAACCCACAACCTTGGCATATCAGGATAATGCTCTAACCAGCTGAGCTACCTGCCCAGGGCTTATCCAAGAGAATTTAATATAAATAACTGTTTAAGGAGATATTGGAAGATTGAAAAGGTCAGGCAACAGTACCACCATGATTCAGACCTTTCAGAAATGAAGATTTCGCTCACCACACAATCAGATAAAGAACTCTGATGGCCGAGACCGGTTTGGCTCAATGGATAGAGTGTCGGCTTGGGGACTGAAGGGTTCCGGGTTCGATTCCGGTCAAGGGCATGTACCTTGGTTGTGGGTATATCCCCAGTGGGGGGTGTGCAGGAGGCAGCTGGTCGATGACTCTCTCTCATCGATGTTTCTAACTCTCTATCTCTCTCCCTTCCTCTCTGTACAAAATCAATAAAATAAAATAAAAAAAAAAGAACTCTGATGCACTGAGATTCTGGCATATGGATGGGTAGAAGAAGAGACAAAGCTTAATTACAAACAACTATCCTATATAATAAAAGAGTAATATGCAAATTGGCTGAACAGCAGAATGGCCAGAATGCCTGTGGCCCCTCACCCTGGCTGGCCCTGCCCCCCGGTTGTTCCTACCCATGGCCCCTCACCCAGCCAGCCTACCCTGATGGCCCTCATCAGGGCAGGCCGGATGGACCCCACCAGTGCATGAATTTGTGCACTGGGCCTCTAGTCTTATAATAACATATTTGTAAGTTTGAAAACACTTATCTTTTCAGTATAAAGAGAATGGTCATCTCAGATTATGAAAAACTGGAGGCCTGGTGCACATCATTAGTGCACTGGTGGGGGTTTGGGGAGGGTTCCCTCGGCCTGGCCTGTGCCCTTTTGCAGTCCAGGAGCCGTTGGGGGATGTCTGACTGATGGCTTAGGCCCATGCAGGACTAAGCTGTCAGTCAGGCATCCTTAGTGCTGCCACAGAGACAGGCTGCTGTGCTTGCCAGCTGTCATCCTGGCTTGCGGCTGAGTGGTGCTCCCTCTGTGGGAGTGCACTGACCACCAGGGGGAAGCTCTTTTGTTGAGCATCTGCCCCCTGGTGAGCAGTGCACGTCATAGTGACTGGTCATTCCGCCATTTGGTCCATTATCAGGTCAATTTGTATATTACCCTTTTATTATGTAGGATTATTATATAGGATACTCCAGAGGCTTGGTTAACTTTGTTAGATAATATATATATATATATATATATATATATATATATATATATATATATATATATATATATATAATTTAAAAAGATAATGTTTTTGAACAGCAGTCAACATGTACACAGTATGTGACTAAGAGTCCTTAACCAGCAACATGTGTTTCAGGGCTTTACAATGTGGTGTGTTGGGACTTCAACAGTGAACCTCAGAAGAGTGGTCCCCCAAAACAGTGGCTGGTACATCTATAATAGGACATATGAATTAAATGGAAAAATCTTTGAACTATGGTATTATTTGGTGCCAAGCAGATCATGGAAACTTTACTATAGTAAAATTTATTCACATTGAAATAGGGTTTCAGTCATCAATTTGTGGTACAGAGGGTAGGGTTTACCAAACAGGAATGCCAAGCAAATGGCCTGGGGACCAGGGCTCATGTCCTGGGGAAAACTGGAGCTCAAATCAGGAAGGATATTGCGGAATGCTGTTTGGTAGACATGGGTAATGCAGGAATCCACCGGAGAACAGAAGGTAGCCTTAGGGGCACAGAATAACTCCAATCCTTACCCACCCCATATACTAGCAGAATATGAAGTAATGTAATTTGGGTTCTTACTGGCTGGAAGACAGGGTGATGGGGTTGACCCTACAAGTACCAGATTTTTAGTATTTATCACTGGGCAGGGTTGGTTGGCCAATGCAAAAACAGATATGTCCTTTTGGCCAAATTGGTATCATCTGGCTTGACAGTGTTTCTCCTATTCATCTGATGGATACCACATAATTTTGTGTGATATTTCACTGTGCTAGAAAGCACTGGAAAATATCTCTTAAGCCATATGGCAGTTGGGCAGAAGTAATATAGTAATGGGAAGAAAATACAGGAAGGTAAATGTGAGAAGTCAAGTAATCATGAAAAGTGAAATTTCCAATTAACTTTACTTTTGGATCTTATTTGAGATTTCAGAATTTCCAGGCTTATAATAATTCAAAGACAGAGATCTGGGAGCTATCCATTAGTGTGTATCGTTAAGAAAAAATAAGATTGGAGACTCATGAACTTTTTGCTCAGTGAGGTTGCTGACATTGGTCCAACATGCCTACAAGGTTAAAGAATGCACTCAGAGAAGTCTTAATGACAATAACCTTCTCTCCAAAATTTATGTATAAAATAACCTTCAAATGCTATAGTTGACTTATGTTTAAGGTTAAAAATATAGCCTAATTTAAATAAAGACAATTCTGACCAAGTAAAATTGTTTGCATCAGTAAGAAAGTTTATTATGAAGACAGAATTTTTTTTTTCCCCTTTAAAGAACACTTTCTGGTAAAGTGAAAAGAAGGAATACAGAAACCACAAAAACACCTTTTAGACACCCTATTTTCAAAGTGGGAACCTATTTCCATAGACCATTAAGATGGAAGGTTCTGTTCTTCTCGGAGGTTCTGTTTTTCAAGCATCTGTGCAAAATGGCCTCTGTGAAGGGAGACTCTTTCCTCCTGATGTGGTTTACTTGTAGTGTTTCTTGGTTTCTGATTCAACCTTAGATGAAAGGACTCTACCATCAGGTGTCACTTCTTCAATAATTGTCTTGATCACTCTGGTTTTACTGGTGTCTGTAAGTGAATCACGAAGAAGAAAGTAGAATTTAGACAGAGAAATTTGGGGGAGGGTGACACTAATTAACAAGCAACATTTCTAAAAGAAAACGACAGCACTTTAAAAAAAGAAAATGTAACTTTCTAAAGTTCCTTAAACAATCCGAGCAATGTTTCAGCGATAGCATTTTCAACTACGCAAGTTTTCCTTCAAGATTGGTGTCAAGAGTATACTTTACTTTTTTAAAAATGCAAGTGGGAACCCTAAGATTTTAAATTTTTTGAAAGTTAAGACGAATTCTTATTACCCCAGCCAGGTTCTCCTGACCTTGATCCCTTAGATGAGGACTCCCCAGTGGACCCGGAAGAGGTCTTGTGGCCTCCGCCAGAGCTTCCGCCGCCGTAGCTACCGCCGCCACCGCCGCCGCCGGAACTTCCGCCGCCGTAGCCGCCGCCGGAACTTCCTCCGCCGTAGCTACCGCCACCACCGCCGCCGCCGGAACTTCCGCCGCCGAAGCCACCACCGGAACTTCCGCCTCCGTAGCCGCCGCCGGAACTTCCGCCGCCGTAGCCGCCGCCTCGCCCGCCGCCGCCGCCTCCGCGGCCGTATCCGCCTCCGGAACTACAGGGAGTAAAAGTCACAGTCAGTTAACTCAGACATTGGAAGACGGTGGGTCGCTTTCCGGCTTTTTGTTTCTTTAGAAAATAAAACATGTTTTAAGCCGAGACCAGTTTGGCTCAGTGGATGGAGCGTCGGTCTGAGGACGGACTGACAGGTCCCGGGTTCGATTCTGGTCAAGGGCATGTACATTGGTTGGGGGCACATCCCCGGTAGGAGGTGTGCAAGAGGCAGCTGACCGATGATTCTCTCTCATCGTTGTTTCTAACTCTATTCCTCTCTCTTCCTCACTGTAAAAGTCAATAAAATATATTTTAAAAAAATGAAAAAGCAAAACAAAAAAAAACACATGTTTTAAGGGGAAAAAGTATGCACTTAAAGTTTTAAAGCACATTCTTTACACACAATTTTATATACACACAACCCTCAGAATCAAATTCCAGAATCCAATTCCTGAGAAACGGAGGCTGGTTCCCTGCGCCTTTTTATTTTTTATTTTTTTAAATTCTGCCTCCTCGCTGCTTTCCCATTTCCCATTTCCCATTCTGTGGCACGTCCTTGGGTTTTAGGAAAGCCTGGCGATTTGGAATAACGAATCAAAGCTACTGGGGTAATTAAAAACGAAAAAAGATATAATTTACCCTCCCTCTCCTTCTAGCAGGCTGCGGTAGGTTTGGATCTCATTCTCCAGTCGAATCTTGATGTCCAGGAGTTGCTGGTACTCAGAATTCTGGCACTCGGTTTCAGCTCGGATCTGTTGCAGCTGCTCCTCCAGAGTGGAGATCTGGGCCTGAATCTGGGAGAGCTGCACGCAGTAGCGACCTTCTGTTTCTGCCAGGGAGGCTTCCAGAGATTGTTTCTGAAAAGGGGAGAGAATATATTGTGGCTTAGCGACCCCCTCGTTCAGTGAAATTTATTTAACAACCTAAGACATCATATAGAAGCATAAATAAAATGAATAAAATTTGTGTTTTACGTTTGATGCCAATGATGCTCTTCTCCCGTTAACAAGAGCTCCAATTTTTATTTCTACTTTGTACCCCAACTCCACGTGTGTGTGTGTGTGTGTTACATATTTTTGCATGGGTGTGAAACTGTGTGTGAGAGAGTTATTAACATACCAGGGCTAGTTGGGACTGTAGTTCGATCTCCAGGCCTTGAACAGTGCGTCTCAATTCAGTAATCTCAGTTTTTTGGCTGGACATTTGTTCAATGTTGCTATCGATTTCTGTAGTCAGTTCTTTGCTCTAGAATATGAGAAAAAGAAAGAGATGAGCAACATCCAAAATGGTAACCAACCTCCATTGGCTTCACCGTGAAGGGGAAGGTAGGTTACCTTTTCATTGAACCAGGCCTCAGCGTCTTTGCGGTTTTGTTCGGCAAGTTGTTCATACTGGCTTCTCATGTTGTTCAGAAGCTGAGTCAGATCAACTCCTGGGGCAGCATTCATTTCCACGTTCACATCGCCAGTGGACACATTTTGAAGGTCTTTCATTTCCTGTTTGAGGAACAGAAAAAATGTAATGTCTGCACTGTGACCAAAATGAGCACTCTTTCGGCTGGGGGAAGTACGGATAACTTTTTGCTTCACCTCTTCATGGTTCTTCCTCAGGTAGGCCAGCTCTTCAGTCAGGCTCTCGATCTGCATCTCCAGGTCGGCCTTGGTCAGGGTCAGCTCGTCCAGCACCCGGCGCAGGCCGTTGATGTCTGCGTCCACGCTCTGGCGGAGGGCTACCTCGTTCTCGTACCTGAAACGAGCATGGTGCAGTAACTGGTTATAACATAAACAGGGGAGGTCTGCTTGAGCAGAGACTACTTAAAAAGCAAAGATAGAGTTGACTTCATATCATGGCGACATTTATCATGTACCATTCACATAGGGATATTAGCGGTTTCGTGCAAAGAAGCTTAGCAGTTACTTTAAAATGCATTTTCTTCTTTTAATATTGCTCCAAAAGGTAATATTGAAACGGAAAATATCTCTGATGGCTCCAATACTGTTTAACTTGAACTGAATTCAGGAAAATGTAAATGCTATTGTGGATTTCCGAAGTCATTGCTAAAACAACTCGTATATTTGGTGTGATAGTACAGTACTCCATTCCCTTAGCTTACTTCAGTCTGAAGTCATCCGCTGCCAGCCTGGCATTGTCGATCTGCAGCAGGACATTGGCGTTATCAGTTGTTAGATTGAGGATCTGTGGGAAGAGGTAAAGAAATAAGACATAGATGTGGCTTTTATAGTGGCATAGATGAACTACATTTTTTATGTTCTCTTACAAAATTTGGGCGGAATTTTTTATTTTAAATATGACATATTGCAGGCTTATCCTGACACTTAAACTTGAATCATTTGTTCTCTTGAAGATCCTATACTCTTCTATTTCTCTATCATCTCTTTCTGAAAACTAACTGGAATTATATAGCTGAGTTCCTACATATGTGTCAGCTCTTATACTGTGTGATTTCTTTGTATTTCTGCCAATGCTGGCTCATACCTGTATTTGGTTTAATTTCTTATAAAAATATATATTCTAAATGAATACACTCCAAGCTGGTACACTGTAGGTACAGTTCACAAATCTGTAGAGGCAAACAATGTATCATTTCCTTACTGGAGAGTTCATGTTTGTTGCAATGTTAAGTAATGAGTATTTTTGTTGTTGTTAACAATTCTTTCTGTTTTCCTATTTGTAAATGATCTAGGGTATTTTAACTGTGGACTCATTTAGACACACTAAAACAAAAGCATTTTCCTTAATCCATCATCGTATAAGACACACAACACACATTTTTGGGTGAAGATGGAAATTACCATATCCTCATAAATACTTACCTGTGATAAGACAAGACTGATTTTGGAAGCAAGAAAGTAAAATAGGCAAACACAATGAACAGCTACGTCATGGTTAATTTAAAATTGATCTATCTGAATCACATGGATTAGAAATAGGCTTAAAGTTGGATTTTTAAATGCCTCTTACCTGATTTTTAAGATCTTCAATGGTTCTGTAGTATTTGCTGTAGTCACGAGGCTCTCGCTGGCCTGTGTTGCCATACTTTTCATACCACTCTTTGATTTTGCCTTCTAGCTCATAGTTTGATTCCTCAAGAGCCCGAACTTTGTCCAGGTAGGAAGCCAGGCGGTCGTTCAGATTTTGCATGGTTATCTTTTCATTTCCAGAGAGAAGGCCACCATCTCCCAGTCCACCACCACCAAAGCCGCCTCCATAGCTGCCTCCACCGAAGCCCCCTCCAAAGCTGCCCCCTCCAAAGCTGCCTCCTCCAAAACCGCTTCCTCCGTAGCCCCCACCAAAGCCGCCGCTTCCGTAGCCTCCACCAAAGCTACCTCCACCAAAGCCACCTCCACCATACCCACCTCCTAGTCCACCCGCATAGCCACAGCCTCCACCAGAGCTCCCACGGCTGAAAGAGCCACCACTGAAACCCACCCCTGAGCTATATCCTCCACCATGGGAGCTTTTGCTGCTCGAAACTTTGATGGATCCTCCTCCTCCTCCTCCTCCTCCTCCTCCCCCACTTCGAGAGGAAGAGTAATTCTTGCTTGAGCTGTATCGAACAGACATGGTGATGCTAGGTAGCCCAGGGAGTTCCTGCTGCAACCAAGGACAGTGGCAAAGCCTTTATATATGAACTGGAGGTGTGTCCCCATGTGGTAGAGTTTGCTTACTTGCATGGTATTCTTCTAGCCAGCTTAGCATCTTTGGCTCATGATTGCATAAATTATCTTCAGTAATAACCAATCCCAATATGGATGGCTTAAAATTTGCCTTAAGAACAAATGAGAGGTTTGCGGTGTTGAAATTGAAAATGGGTGTAGTTCAGATAAACAAATGCTTTTTCACCTTTGAGAACATTGAGCAACTGTTGAGATCCAGTTTGATCTGAGCACTGATTTATGTTGTACAGAATGTTTGCAAAGTTTGGAAAAAGAATTTTAGCTGCAAAGTTACAGTTCAAGTAAGATTTTTTTCAATTTCATGTTTTAAGCAGTATTAGTTAATTGGAACAACAAACAGCATGCTATAATAGAGATCTTGTAGGAAACTGTAAGCAACTAAAGAAAAGAACACATATGCCAAACAATTTAATTAGTGTTCAAAAGTTGCCATATATAAAAAGTTAAAGCTATAAAAGCACAATTTAGGAAGTGTGTGTGTGTATGTGTATGTGTGTGTGTGTTTGGAGAATGAAGATATATTGCTATTTTGCCTAGGAAATTGGAAGTGAGTAATGATTTAGGAATCTAACTTAATGGTGCTACTGTTTTTTTTTTTTTTTTAACATTAAAAGCAATAAATAAATACATTTTAATTAAGGCTTATATGAAGACCATTATATAGAATTTCTTAGCACAAGATATGAAAAACTAACGTCCAGTACTTACTTATATTAAGTTTGATTGGTTGAGAGGGAAAATTTTGATATGTTATGATTATGAGTAAAAATTTGCTTGCAAGAATATAAATCTAGATTAGAGAGTGATACTTGCTCCAAAAATTATGAACTAGACTGTAAACACATGTTTCCAAGCTAGATTCTGTTTATTAAAAAGAAAAAATTTCCATGGGTATATTGTGTATAGAATTTGGTATATTAGTTTGTCTAGGGAAGTATTTAATTGGAACTTTAATACATTATATAAAATTATTTTATATTTATCCATAGACAATGACATTGCTGTGTGTGTTTGTACATGTGCATATATATATGTATAAATTTTCACACATTTTTCAATTATACAGTGCTTTTGTAATCTAGTGCTTTTATAATTTATGAAATAAGGTGCTGAAATAGGATGGTGGTTATTATCTCTAGTTTATAGAAGGGGAAGTTGAAGCTGAGAGAGGTTATGATTTTGCCTAAAGATATATAATAGGTGGTTGAACTGAGATTAGAAACTTGGTCCTTTGATGCCTGGCTTTTAGCTCTTTCCTATTATACGTGTATGTGTGTGTGTGTGTTCTGTGCTCCGGTGGATTGGTCTGATAGAATAGAAGGTTGTTATTACTTGCCATGAACCTCTCCACGTGGGAAAACAAAACAAAACAAAACAAAAAAACAAAACAAACTTTGAAGCATGAACATTTTGAAAAGAGGGTATTTGGCACACAGTGTTCTATTCTTAATTGCTATTTCAAATTAAATTTATAGCTGCACATTCTAATCTATGAGAACTCTAGAAATAGTTTCTGTAGGGAAAGGGAATGTGGTTGGCAGAATAACGAGGAGTTGGTTGTTAGAATGGAGGTTACTAAGCAGCAAAAGTTGCAGTTCCTCCAGCCTGTTAGCACATGCAAGTGGGGCAATCGTTAAAAGAAGAAATGAAACCCAACCATGGGAATTGATTCCTGATGAAGATAATATACAATGAGGGAAAGCCATGATAAATCAGGATAGAGAAAAGATATTCCAATAAGTTTAGAGAGGATCTTAAAGGCTTGATATTAATGAAAGCAATTTGGAAAGAAGACATTTTAGTTAAAACATTTGGGAGATTTTACCTGTATTTATTACAAGTTTTGAATCTTGAACTTACCAGTTTTGTTTTAATATTAGTTTTTAATTTTGTACCCTGGTGGAAAGATAGTAAAATCTAAATCTAGTTTCAATTCATTAACAAGTAGTATGAAGAGATCTGCTACAATTATAATAAATCAAAGAATATGTGAAAAGAAACTATTGCATAAAAGCACATGGGAAAAACATGCATAGTCTTCTAACACTGTAACATTTATTTTAAGCCACCTTTAATGTCATTATCAAAGATTGCTTATACACTCTACAAATAGGTTTGTCTTCATTTGTACTGTCATTTGTTGAAATTACCCTTTGGCATAAGTGAAATTACCGAGGTGCCATGTAATAAATTTGCAGCTAAATTGGATGAATATGTACAATTGTCAGTTCTAATTTTGGCACAGTTTTCACTTGATTGCCATAATCCACTGTAAATGTAATTTCATTTTCCTCACTTTTTATTGTGTTTCTACGTAAGATACATTGATAAGTGCTTGGAAGATAGAAAGATGAATGAGATTCAGCTCCTGCCCTTAAGGATCTTACAAGTCGTTGGGATCTAATTGAGGAGACATGACATACATTATCAACTTAAGGGCTACATCAGTGGTAAATGAAGTGGAGGGGGTGGGGTGGGGAGGAGTTAACATTTCTCGACCATCCACTATGTTTACTCTTCTTTACCCCTCCCCCAAATCCTATATGATAGGTATTATTTACATAATTTTATAGCTTTAGCCAGTTAACTGCCATGTGTTCAAAATAGAAAACATCCCCACATGCCAGGATATTTTGAATTTAATTTAAAAATAAATTTTCAATGAATGCTATCTACACTAATAAAAGAGAAACATGCAAATTGACCATCACTCCACTATGCCCATCAGCCAACCAGAGTGAGTATGCAAATTAACCCAACAAAGATGGTGGTTAATTTGCATACACAGGACAGAGTGAAGACTGAAGACCATGTATAAGGAAGAGGGAGGGGAAAGTGGAAAGCAGGGCGGACCAGTGGCCGTGGTGAGAGCTGGGAGGAAAGCTTGCCTTGGCGGGCTTCGCTCCCTTCTCTGCTTCACTCTGGCCACAGGAAGTCCCATTCTTGCAGGAATCTTCCTGCAATGGGCCTCTAGTAAGTAAATCTAAAATAAAATAAATACATTACAATTTGGGTGTTCTTGAATATTTTGAGTAGAAAATTCTCACGAAAAATGATTTTTTAAAAAGCATCTATAGTCACTTGTGGTGTACAAAGAGTTAAAAAGCTTTAGGAATTTGGCCAGAGTAACTCAGCTAGTCTATGTTAGAGCTTGGTTTTAAACCAGGCCTATGTAGCTTCAAAGGTGATACTGTTTTGTGACACTGACCTGCCACTGTAAGACTGATGAGTGAGGAGTCTTGGAAAGGATCACTTGATCAGGGTGGATGGTGCAGGTGAAATTTTAGCTAAGTCTTGTGAAGGATGGGTAGTGCCTTTCCATATGTGCAGCAGCAGAGAGAGGTCTGCTCTTGGATGTGGGATCTGTGAAAATGCCAATCATGTGGACACTCTAGATTAAGGGGGTCGAACTCAATCAGAGAAGGGGCCAAAATCTAAAATCCAGCCTAAATCACGGGCCGAATGATTTACTGAACAGTCATAAACTGTCATTGTGATGGAAACGCAGCGGAGTGCAGTGATGACAGCGCGGTGCGGGCCACATTGCAAGGCCTGGCGGGACGGATTTGGCCCGCGGGCCTTGTGTTTGACACATGTGCTCTAGATGGACCAGTTTGGTTGGAACAGATGGTCCATGTTGACTAATTACTCTTAGCAGATTATATTGAGCACCTGTAAAAGTTCTGGGGATACACAGGCAAATAAGATGCAATTCCTGCCCCTCAGGGAGTTTATAATCTACTTGGAGAGGCAAATAAACATACCCATGAACCAGAGATTATAATGGGGTAATCTGGGCTTTTTGAGGTCTAGACATGGTATTGAGGGAGTGCAGAGGGGAGCTCCAACAGGGGTGTGTGTGTGTGTGTGTGTGTGTGTGTGTGATGTGTGAGGGCACAGCTGAGATTAGTGAGGTCAAGTTTCAAGGAAAAGATGAATTTGGTTTAAGATGTTCATTTGAAGTATTAATATCAGGATATTCATATGAAAATAACTTTCAGCAGTTAGAGCCATAGGATTATAATTCAGGAGAGAGATCAGAGCAGCAGACTTTAGGATAAGTAGGATCCCTAAGGGAAGGAGTTCAGAAAGAAATGAACAGACGATCCAAGCCTGAACTTCTGGGGACAGCCATGCGAGGGGCTGGGAAGAAGAGCTAGGGAATAACAGGGCACCTAGGAATGGGGGAAGGGAAAACAAGGATCACAGAAACCAGGAGAGGAGAGAATCCAGAGATATCAGTCAAGGTCAAAGGAGACTGCTGGTTTGGCAAGTGGGAACATTGCCATCCTTTCAGAGGGCAGGCTGAGAAGAGTTGTGGTGTGGCAGTCCACAATGTGTTCAATATTAGAATTGGTGACGGTACCTATGGCATTTTATTTTCAGGTACTCCAGTTTATCAATTTATTGTTTAATTGCTCCTGGATTTTGGGTCATGGTTAAGAAAAGAATAGGTGCTATTTCTATGTGGTTAATTAGGCTGGCGCTCTTGAGGCATGTCATTATCTTAACTTGGTTTGCAGTTTTGCTTGCCTTACTGTTGGGATTTGGATCCTTCCAACTTCTTCCTTATTTTCCTTCAAGTAAAATTCTCTCCTGAAGTTTCTCATTGAGAATTCTCTTTGCATGGTTCTTTCTCTGATTGAGTAACTGAGATTTAATGAGTAATTTAGTTAGGTGCAGAAAGGTGAATCTGGTAATGCAGGTTATGCCTCAAGATGGCAAGGTTGATAAGCTAAATGTTTAGCATTTTCTATTGCTTATCGCATAAAGTTTGAGAATTAGACATGCATTGCTTTAATGTTGTGTGACTAGATATGAATTGCTGGATGTGCCTCTGTGATTACCACCTACGGAGTCAAAGCCAGGAGGAAAGTTATAGAACTGTTTGATGGGTTTAGTATCTTTCTCCCAGATCACTGAGCCATGAGAACAACTAAGGT